ATCTATGTTTTCATCGCTAATTACGTTATCTTGGGCACTGGTTTCGGTCACACCCTTCTGAAAACCATGGAATTCACTTTCACTGGCACTTCCATCAATGTTAAAACTACCACTTGGGAACAGAAGACCTCCAATTCTGCGAGGATTTAGGTACAGTGGACCCCCGGTTAACGATATTTTTTCACTCCAGAAGTATGTTCAGGTGCCAGTACTGACCGAATTTGTTCCCATAAGGAATATTGTGAAGTAGATTAGTCCATTTCAGACCCCCAAACATACACGTACAAACGCACTTACATAAATACACTTACATAATTGGTTGCATTCAGAGGTGATCGTTATGCGGGGGTCCACTGTACTTCTTTCTGCAAGGCATCATGAACAAGGACTACTATGATGGCGTTCCCACAATGCACCACTGAGTTACTGATTTTTTCATAGTGCACGCACCCATCACGCAGACCTATTCTCTCGCATGCAGGCCTACCAGTTTTCTTCCGCTTGATTTGAAGCCACTAGAATTTATTTTTTTTTTTTTATCACACCGGCCGATTCCCACCAAGGCAGGGTGGCCCGAAAAAGAAAAACTTTCACCATCATTCACTCCATCACTGTCTTGCCAGAAGGGTGCTTTACACTACAGTTTTTAAACTGCAACATTAACACCCCTCCTTCAGAGTGCAGGCACTGTACTTCCCATCTCCAGGACTCAAGTCCGGCCTGCCGGTTTCCCTGAATCCCTTCATAAATGTTACTTTGCTCACACTCCAACAGCACTCAAGTATTAAAAACCATTTGTCTCCATTCACTCCTAAACAAACACGCTCACGCATGCCTGCTGGAAGTCCAAGCCCCTCGCACACAAAACCTCCTTTACCCCCTCCCTCCAACCCTTCCTAGGCCGACCCCTACCCCGCCTTCCTTCCACTACAGACTGATACACTCTTGAAGTCAATCTGTTTTGCTCCATTCTCTCTACATGTCCGAACCACCTCAACAACCCTTCCTCAGCCCTCGGACAACAGTTTTGGTAATCCCCCACCTCCCTAACTTCCAAACTACAATTCTCTGCATTATATTCCACAAACCACACATTGCCCTCAGACATGACATCTCCACTGCCCTCCAGCCTTCTCCTCGCTGCAACATTCATCACCCACGCTTCACACCCATAATAAGACGTTTTGGGAAAACTTTTACTCTCATACATTCCCCTCTTTGGGCCCCCAAGGACAAGTTCTTTGTCTCCACAGACTCCAAGTGCACCACTCCATCTTTTTCCCTCATCAATTCATGATTCACCTCATCTTTCATAGACCCATCCGCTGAACGTCCACTCCCAAATATCTGAATAAAGTTCACCTCCTCCCATACTCTCTCCCTCCAACCTGATATTCAATCTTTCATCACCTAATCTTTTTGTTATCCTCATAACCCTTTCTCTTTCCTGTATTCAAACCCTTTTAAATTTTCTTCTTTTGCACACCCTAACCAAATTCATCCACCAATCTCTGCAACTTCTCTTCAAACTCCCAAGACACAGTGTCATCAGCAAAAAGCAGCTGTGACAACTCCCACTTTGTGTGTGATTCTTTATCTTTTAACTCCACGCCTCTTGCCAAGACCCTCGCATTTACTTCTCTTACAACCCCATCATAAATATATTAAACAACCACGGGGACATCACACATCCTTGTCTAAGGCCTACTTTTAAATGGGAAAAAATTTCCCTCTTTCCTACATACTCTAACTTGAGCCTCACTATCCTCGTAAAAACTCTTCACTGCTTCAGTAACCTACCTCCTACACCATACCTTGCAACATCTGCCCCATTGCCCCCCTATCCACCCTGTCATAACGCCTTTTCCAAATCCAAAAAATGCCACAAAGACCTCTTAGCCTTATCTAAATACTGTTCACTTATATGTTTCACTGTAACACCTGGTCCACCACACCCCCTACCTTTCCAAAAGCCTCCTTTTTTCACTGCTATCCTATTCTCCGTCTTACTCTTATTCTTTCAATTATAACTCAAACCAAACATTTTACCAGTACACTAAACAGACTTATCCCCCTATAATTTTTGCACTCTTTTTTTATCCCCTTTGCCTTTATACAAAGGAACTATGCATGCTCTCTGCCAATCCCTAGGTACCTTACCCTCTCCATACATTTATTAAATAATTGCACCAACCACTCCAAAACTATATCCCCACCTGCTTTTTAACATTTCTATCTTTATCCCATCAATCCCGGTTGCCTTACCCCCTTTCATTTTACCTACTGCCTCACGAATTTCCCCCCACACCACAACTGGCTCTTCTCACTCCTACAAGATTTTATTCCTCCTTGCCCTAAACCCGAAATCACAGCTTCCCTATCTTCATCAACATTTAAACAATTCCTCAAAATATTCCTTCCATCTTCCCCAATACCTCTAACTCTCCATTTTTAAAAACTCTCCCTCTCCTATTTTTAACTGACAAATCCATTTGTTCTCTAGGCTTTCTTAACTTGTTAATCTCACTCCAAAAAACTTTTTCCCTTTTTTTCAACAAAATTTGTTGATAACATCTCACCCACTTTTCTCATTTGCTCTCTTTTTACATTGCTTCACCACTCTCTTAACTTCTCTCTTTTTCTCCATATACTCTTCCCTCCTTGCATCACTTCTACTTTGTAAAAACTTCTCCATATGCAACTTTTTCTCCCTTACTACTCTCATTACATCATCATTCCACCAATCGCTCCTCTTCCCTCCTGCACCCACTTTCCTGTAACCACAAACTTCTGCTGAAACACCTAACACTACATTTTTAAAAACCCACCCCAAAACCTCTTCGACCCCATTGCCTATGCTCTCATTAGCCCATCCTATCCTCCAATGCTGTTTATATCTTACCCTAACTGCCTCCTCTTTAGTTTATAAACCTTCACCTCTCTCTTCCCCCGATGCTTCTATTCTCCTTGATCCCATCTACCTTTTACTCTCAGTGTAGCTACAACTAGAAAGTGATCTGATATATCTGTGGCCCCTCTATAAAAATGTACATCCTGAAAGTCTACTCAACAGTCTTTTATCTACCAATACATAATCCAACAAACTACTGTCATTTCGCCCTACATCATATCGTGTATACTTATTTATCCTCTTTTTTTAAAAAATGTATTACCTATAAATAAACCCCTTTCTATACAAAGTTCAATCAAAGGGCTCCCATTATCATTTACACCTGGCACCCCAAACTTACCTACCACACCCTCTCTAAAAGTTTCTCCTACTTTAGCATTTAAGTCCCCTACCACAATTACTCTCTCACTTGGTTCAAAGGCTCCTATACATTCACTTAACATCTCCCAAAATCTCTCTCTCTCCTCTGCATTCCTCTCTTCTCCAGGTGCATACACGACTTATTATGACCCACTTCTCGCATCCAACCTTTACTTTAATCCACATAATTCTTGAATTTACACATTCATATTCTCTTTTCTCCTTCCATAACTGATCATTTAACATTACTGCTACCCCTTCCTTTGCTCTAACTCTCTCAGATACTCCAGATTTAATCCCATTTATTTCCCCCCACTGAAACTCTCCTACCCCCTTCAGCTTTGTTTCGCTTAGGGCCAGGACATCCAACTTCTTTTCATTCATAACATCAGCAATCATCTGTTTCTTGTCATCCGCAGAAGTATGTTCAGGTGCCAGTACTGACCGAATTTGTTCCCATAAGGAATATTGTGAAGTAGATTAGTCCATTTCAGACCCCCAAACATACACGTACAAACGCACTTACATAAATACACTTACATAATTGGTTGCATTCAGAGGTGATCGTTATGCGGGGGTCCACTGTACTTCTTTCTGCAAGGCATCATGAACAAGGACTACTATGATGGCGTTCCCACAATGCACCACTGAGTTACTGATTTTTTCATAGTGCACGCACCCATCACGCAGACCTATTCTCTCGCATGCAGGCCTACCAGTTTTCTTCCGCTTGATTTGAAGCCACTAGAATTTACATGTATTAATACTTCGGAAACATTGGCTCGTAAGACGTATATATATTGCCGAAACGGTCAAAGGGTTAATATTGTTTTTTAATATTATTATTATTATTGTTCTGTCTCTGTGCCATTGTTCGATGAAAGCTTAGACAGTACTGTACAGTATCAGTAATGTACGGTTCTTAATAATAAAGCATATTTTAATAAATACTGTTATAAAAAAACTTATTACCTTTTAATTGGTACAAAAGTGCTTAAGGTGATGGATGAGAGGAAGATTGGAGGTTGTGTGGGACTACTGGGGGAGAGGGCCATCAACCTCATACACATCTCCATCAAATGCTTTGTCAGTGAGTGTTTCGTAAGCCTGGGTTTCTTCAACATCTGAAGAGGCTTTTAAAGTAGAAGACACTGGTCTGAAGAATGTGCCTTAAGAAAGTTTGCACGTTTTTCTCTTCTCGTTGTATATAAAACGGTAGCATGAGATAGAATTGTTAACACCAGTTGAAACCTTTGAGAATCTCTCGATATCGGGGTCCTGAAACTCAAACATACGGAGACCTCTCTCTAAAAGAGAAAATGCCTCGGCCATCATTTTTGTCTGTTTGTATATCCGAATGTTCATAGCTCGAGTGTTTGTTTGTAAGTAAGGTAGTGTCTGTATGTTATAATAGATAGAATAGAGGAAATCAGCTGTAATATACATTACGTGTATTTAGGTATGCATACTGGTCAGAGAGCCTGTTGCAAGTCAAAGTTGTCGGTAAACGAGTACGTCGCTAAGTGAGGAGAGGCTTTATTTCTAATTCATTTTCTTTATGTGATTGGAGGTTCACAAATAATATTTGTTAATCTATCAGCAGTAAGCTTTTTTTTTTTTTTTGGTGGAGACTGTAAGAAGCAAACATTTATATAAAAGAAGAAACAAATAATTTTCATTAAAGGATTTGGCCATTTCTTATTATAAAGTTGTTTTGTCGTATTTACAGGTAATGGTCTTTGTTCACGCCCGTAATGGCACATTACGTACTGCAGAAAATTTAATAAAGTTGGCTCAAGAGATGGGCAAAACCCAAAGTTTTCTTCCAGTCGAAGGTCCGGATGTTACCAGAGCTCGTAAAGATCTAGGTCGCTCGCGAAACAAAAAATTGGCTGAATTATTTGAATCTGGATTTGGAGTGCACCATGCTGGCCTTCTGAGATCTGACAGGTATTGCTGCTAGTTTATCAGTTAATTTCTTAATTTTTTTTAATACCCTGCCTTTTTTCATGGGATAAAAAATGTTATTCCCCATATGCATATAGTAGTCTGAATTGGAGTAATTTTATTTGTAGATGGGAGTATAGTACAGTAGGTCCTCAATTTACAATGTTCCTCACTTATAACATTGGTACTTTTCAATTAATTAATTACTACAAACTGAGATCTGCAGTTGGAGTCACTGCAAATGCAATACTCTAAGCAATTTTTTTTTTTTTTTTTTTTTTTTTTTTTTTTTTTTTTACAAAAGACATTCATGCTTTCTGCACATATATTTTATGCACATATAGTGAGCTCTCACTTGTTTGGTGGAGATTGGTCAGTAACTATTGATCTAACATTTAAGATTTCCTTAAGGCTGAATCACAAATATTTTTGTGTATTTTTATTTTTTTAACAGATGCTTTCATACTTTGTACATACTAATTTTGTGCATGTTTAGAGTTCACATTTGTTTGACAAAAGATTTTTTATTTATGTAAAAGTAAAGAGTTTATATTTGTTGGGTAGAAGTTGGTTAACAACTGTATATTGAATGATTACAGTGTTGTGTAGTAACAATTACCACTGCTGGCCCTGTACTAGACATATCTACTGGGCGAAGCATAAGACAGCAAGAACTTGAACCATAGATTCACAGTTTCCTCACCATCACCTTTCTATATTATATACCCAGACACATTACCCTTCACCATAACAGTGAGCAAGTAGGGCACATATTTTGAGTATTGTCTTAGATGTTATGCAAGAGAGAATGAAAGTGAATGAGAGAGGAGACAGTGCAGCTGCTGCCTGACCCTACACATTGATCAACTCATTCCTCTTGCACCACACATCCAAAACAGTAAGGTGATGGTGAGTATATATGAAGAGTCTTGGGTGTGTGTGTGTGTGTGTGTGTGTGTATTCGCTTATTTGTGGTTGCAGGGGTCAAGTCACAATTCCTGGCCCTGCCTCTTCACTGGTCACAACTAAATCCACTCCTTGCTCGTACCTCTTCTTAAAGCTATGTATGGATCTTGCCTCCACTACATCACTCTACAGATTATTCCACTTTCTGACAACTCTGTGACTAAAGAAATACTTCCTAACATCCTTGTGACTCATCTAAGTTTTCAACTGTGACCCCTTGTTGCTGTGTTCCATTTCTGAAATATTCTCTCCCTATCATCTGTCAATTCCTCTCAGTATTTTATATGTCGTTATCATGTCCCCCTTATCGCTCCTGTCCTCCAGTGTCATCAGGTTAATTTTCCCTTAGCCTTTTCTTGTAGGACATACCCCCTTAGGTGTGGGACTAATCTTATTGCAAACCTTTGCACTTTCTCTAATTTCCTAACGTGCTTGACAAGGTGTGGGTTCCATGCTGGTGCTGCATACTCCAATAGGAGCCTGACATACACGGTGTACAGTGTCTTGAATGACTCCTTACTCAGGTGTCAAAATGCTATTCTTAGGTTTGCCAGGCACTCATATGCTGCAGCAATTATTTGGTTGATGTATACCTGAGATGTGCTCTGTTTGATACTCAGCCCAAGATCCTTTTCCTTGAGTGAGGTTTGCAGGCTTAGGCCTACTAACCATACCATGAGCGGGGATAGAACCCGCTATCAGAGTCTCAGAACTCCAGACCGTCGCGTTTGCCACTGGACCAGCTAGCCACAATGAGATTCATCCAACTAGGTATATTTCTACACCATAGGAAGGTTAGCATAGGCACTACTGTGACCACAAATGCAAGTTTTTACAGATGAATCTCCAGCTAGCATGGCCGTGATGAACTCTAGCTCAAGTCCCCTCAAAGCCGTTAACATGACTCACGGAATTGTAATGACACGATTGCAAACAAACCATACCACAGGTGGGGATAGAACCCGCGATCAGAGAGTCTCAAAACTCCAGACCGTCGCGTTAGCCACTGGACCAGCTAGCCACAATAAGATTCATCCAACTAGGTATATTTCTACACCATAGGAAGGTTAGCATAGGCACCACTGTGACCACAAATGCAAGTTTTTACAGACGAATCTCCAGCTAGCGTGGCCATGACGAACTCTAGCTCAAGTCCCCTCAAAGCCGTTATGGGGCCTGTCATGCAATTAATTGTTGCTTTTTTATTTATCGTCAGATTTCCTTCAGTTTTTGTGCACAAGACAAAGTGTTTTCACTCTCTCCTGAAAATATTTATCAAAAATATACCTCAAACAACAACTGAGAAAAGACTGAAAAAGGACTAATTTACAGAAAATGCCCTTTGGCAGGAAGGTGACCCTATATGGGACGATGTAAGGTTGTTTGGACACTTGGTGCTGAGAGAACAATGCTCATACTAATTTTCCTCGAGGCCTTTCGTCTAAATAACTTATCTTTATTTCACAAAAAAATAAAGTTTGTTAGTTCTTGGAATGTTGAAAAAAATCTGCCCTTTACTCCCATATAACTCCCTAAGTATTTGGAATATTTCCAAAATTCCCTCGACATTAATTAGAGAAATCATAATTATTTTACCATTTCTGTGAATATTATTCCACTTAATTAAGTAATAAAGGTGTACCTTAGCGAAGTAAGTGAATAAGTTACTTCCGAGATATTGGCCTGGAGTGCCGGCCGGCCCACCATCCCCCCCCAAAAAAATCGCTAAAATCGCGTTTGTTTCGGTGTATTTCTTAATAAACTGATGTTCTAGTGCAGTTATCCTCTTCAAAACACTGTTTTCTCTTACTCAAAGACCAAAGAATACGACGTGGAGACGACATGGAGAGCAGTAACTCATTTATATAGAAATATTCCCGATGGTCTATCGCCATATTATGGCATATTTTATTCAGTCTAGAGTATATAACATGTTTGTATGTTATTTATAGTGTTTATTATATCATATTAGATCAATTCTGATAGATAAATAAGTCGTAGAGTTGATATATAAGCTGATATAAGCGTAATATTGAAGTGATTTCTCCTGGCTCTCTGGATCGGGAATACTGCCGAGTGGTCCCAGATGGTGCCTGATTGGCTGGCACTCTATGGATAAGCTCCGCCTACTCTTATATGATACCAGATAGTCAAATATTATATTAGAAAGAATAATGCAAGAAAAAGCGATAGAAAACAAGGAAAAAATTCCAAAAATATATGAGCTGTGAGCAGACGCACTACCCATATCGCCGTCACCATACCTGATATAAATGACTATAATTTCTTGTAGAAACGTCGTAGAACATTGATTCTTGTACCATTGTGTTGCCAAAGAGTTAAGCTATTTTTCGGTATAAATAACTCAATTTCCATAATTTTTCGATTTTTTGTTGAGCGTGTGCGGAAAATTTCCGAACAGCCCCCTAACATGACTCATGAAATCGTAATGACATGTTTGCAAACAAACCATACCACGGGCGGGGATAGAACCCGCGATCAGAGAGTCTCAAAACTCCAGACCGTCGCGTTAGCCACTGGACCAGCTAGCCACAATAAGATTTGTCCAACTAGGTATATGTATTTCTACACCATAGGAAGGTTAGCATAGGCACCACTGTGACCAGAAATGCAAGTTTTTACAGATGAATCTCCAGCTAGCGTGGCCATGATGAACTCTAGCTCAAGTCCCCTCAAAGCCGTTAACATGACTCACAAAATCGTAATGACACAATTGCAAACAAACCATACCACGGGCGGGGATAGAACCCACGATCAGAGAGTCTCAAAACTCCAGATCGTCACGTTAGCCACTGGACCAGCTAGAGTTCGTCATGGCCACACTAGCTGGAGATATGTTTGTAAAAACTTGCTCTGCCACGTCTGAAGGATGACCAGGAGCATTGTCTAATACCAGGAGGCACTTAAGGTTCAATTTATTTTCCAGGAGGTAATTTTTCACAGTGGGGGGCAAATGCATGGTGTAACCAGTCATAGAAAAAGTCCCTAGTGACCCATGCTTTACCGTTTGCCCTCCACAGCACACACAAATTAGCCTTGAGGACATTGTGTTTCCTGAACACTGGGAGTTTCAGAGTGATACACCAATAAAGGCTTCACTTTGCAATCACCACTAGCATTAGCACACATGAGAAGAGTAAGCCTGTCTTTCATAGGCTTATGTCCTGAGAGTGCCTTTTCCTCCTGAGTAATGTAGGTCCTGCTTGGCATTTTCTTCCAAAACAGGCCTGTTTCGTCACAATTAAACACTAGTTCAGGTTTCAGTCCTTCATTGTCTATGTACTCCTTGAATTCCTGCACATTTTTCAGCCGCTTTGTGGTCCGAACTGGCAGCCTCACCATGCCTTATCCCACTATGTATGCCACTAGGATTCTTAAATCTCTCAAACCAACCTTTGCTGGCCTTAAATTCACTCACATCACCACTAGTTGCAGGTTTTTTTTTAATTAAATCGTCATGCAATTTCCTAGCCTTTTCACAGATGACTGCTTGAGAGATGCTATCTCCTGCTATCTGTTTTTCATTTATCCACACCAATAACAGTCTCTCAACATCTTCTATCACTTGCGATCTCTGTTTCGAAAACATAGTTGCACCTTTGGCAAGAACAGCTTCCTTGATTGCCATTTTCTTGGCCACAATAGTAGCGATGGTTGATTGGGGTTTTGTGTACAACCTGGCCAGCTCGGAGACACGCACTCCACTTACATCCTTAGCAATGATCTCTTTCTTCATATCCATAGTAATTCTCACCCTTTTTGCTGTAGGGTTGGCACTAGAAGCTTTCTTGGGGCCCATGGTGACTTATTTTGCAGGTGCAATCACTAAAAAGGCTGTGATAATATGAAATGTTCCAATTGTATGTTTGGATGGGACCACGGTGGCTGGCTGGCTTGTAAACACTGGCACCCCACGGGATAAGTGAGGCGCACTCAGACCACATGTGGACGCGTCTCGAACGGAACGAATCACGTTTGTCGAGTTTTTTAGCGCTAGTCGAGGCAAAATTTTTGGG